TGTGTGTGTGTGTGTGTGTGCAGGTGGATGATTTGGGTCTTGGAGAGGAGATCCTGCCGGTCAGCTACAGCCACGTTGCCTCCAGAAACAGATACCTGTATGTTAATGGTCAGCTGCACAAGATGCCGTCAGGAATCAGGTGAGTGTTTACAAACATTGATTTTGCATTATGTGCTGCTGAATGTCGACCGGCTGTTTAAATATACATACATTTCAAATGAAATCACGAAGCGTAACCTGAAACTTTCCGTCTTCCTCTCCGTCTCCTTGTGCGTTTTTTCAGTGGGATTGTGCGGACAGTCCCACCGTTCTCTCGGCCGCTGCTGCTGAGCGTCGCTGCTGAGATCCTGGTGAATAAAACCAAGAACGACGACGAGTCAGTCCATTCGTTCGTTTCGAGGAGGCTAGGAAAGGAGGTGAGCAGAACTTTGTGTCAGTAAACAAGCCCCACACACAGTCGCTTCAATAAACCTGTGGTAACATGGCAAAAACAGAGATGCAACAGGAGCCACAAATCAAACGGCATCATTGAAACCAAGTTACTGACCTAACACCAGCTAAATATAGCAACAAGAAACCCAAACAAAAGTGACCTGATGTCAGTCTCAAAATGTTCAGCAGTCTGGAAAAACTTCGCTGATTTAGTAACTTCAATAAGACTCCTTTCATCAGCAACATACTTACATCTTATCAAACCCAGACAAATGTTTTTCAGTTGCACTTTTGCTTTTGCAAAGGCCCACAAAAAAACCCCTTAATAAAAGAAACAAAACCACAGCAGCCGTTCAGTTAAGGTGGAAACTCCTGTGTGCTTGCCTGATCATGCACCCCAGTCGTTATTCAGATTAGAGCTGCTTGAACATTCAGCCCAGTGACCTCTGTAGGCAGATCTAAAGGTTCTGAAGCAAAGAGCTGACGCGTGACCAGGAGGCCGGCAAAAACTCAGACTAAAGTGTAGATACCTGACAGCTGTTTATCTCATTCTTTATGAGGGAGGTGACACACTCATGATGCAGCGAGGATTATCATTTGGAAACACGAGTGTATTTATTAAGACATGGAAACGTGAAGCTAGTCTCTAACAGTAATTACATAAGATTCACTTAACTAAAAAGGTAACGTGTGTGTGTGTGTGCGTGTG